CTGAGCAAAATATCTCAAGCCAATTGATTCCTCGAGCTTGAGTTTTTAAGTTTCAAGGTCAAGTCTCGAGCTGATGAAGACACTATTTGTAACTTTGGGATTATTTCCCAAATCATAAATAGCGGGGCTGTTTGGCAATCTCGAGCTGATGAAAACAGGCCTATTGAGAGTCGGTGTTTATGCCTTGAGCAAGTATTTCTGGTTTTGTCAGCTAGTTTTCTCTGATAGTTGTGAGATAGTCAGGTGTGACTAGGCTATTGTGCCTGACTCCATGTAGGTCAAAATAAGCATGGAGTTGTGAAAAGAAAGATTGCAGACTTCATACATGCCTCGAAGGAAAATGAAGGTATAAAAAGAGATACTCTGGTAATCAAAATGGGTCTAGGATGTCTGCTGATACTGTGAAATGCACTCGGTTCATTCAAATGTCAGGCTAGGTGAAATAAACTACTTACTGCTGATTAAATTGAAACAAGGATTGTAGATACTTCTTCTTGCGCTGTAAAGGATTATTGCCAGTCACGTATTTAATCATTTTAAAGACATCTGTCAGCATTCACTTGAATAATTAATGAACCTATTTTGTTAAAGAATTTGCAAATAAGTATTGACATCTTTAAAGTTTAAATTGTTATCAATATAGACAAAATTAGCAAACTCGAATTCCTATTACAGAGTAAGAACTCACATTTTCCCTTTAATGTCTAACCGCTTTAGAATTCATATAAAAAGACGAAAAAAGCAACAAATTTTTGTCATAAATATGATATTCATGGAACGAAAATGGCAATGGTGAATCATTCTTTTTGTCCTTGTCATTTAAAGAATAGATCATGGCTATCTTGATCATCATTATGATAATCACGTGCAGGCGGCATTTCAATGCAACAAGTGCATCCTTATGACAAGTGCAAATGATTATCATCATCGGTATCATATAGACATGTGCTCCTCCCCACCCAGCCCCAAGTCACCATAAGGCAACAAGGAGGGGGGGGGGGGGGGGTTAGGGTGGAGAGAAAGAAGAAGACCCTTTTCTTATTATACCTCTTTTGAATATCTTCTCTGACCACTGAATACCCCAGAAGAAAAAGAAATCGTGTCTCTGGCTCTAATGCCTCTTACTGGGCCCCATTTCACTGGCCTGGAATATGGTTTCGCCCACTCCGAGAAAGCAGTTTATCAACAAACATGAGAAAAGAGGCTTCACACAAACAAAAGATCAGAATACTGGACTTATTCAAGCGGGGGCTTTCCGAGGGCTGAAACTATGGCATTCCAAACCCACTGCTGGCCGATATATAAAAGGACATCATGCAAATGTTATCAGTATTCTCAAAGTCCAGTTAAATTACCCTAGCTATTTACATGGATCTATCATGGCCAATTACTACCAGGTACTTGAAACTATTATACAATATAATCCCTGCAAGATCCCGGCCTTATGTAATAAAAAATCTTCTGTCAATACAGGAGGTCCATATACTGTTAGCAAATTAACCTCTTTGGAATTGAATACAAATTTTTTACGCCCTAAAAGTCAGCAACCTTTTTTAGCAGTACAAATCAATTTTGATAATTCCCTTTATTTCCATGCATTACTAGCTTTGCTTGCATGCATTGGCAATTTATTGCCTGCAGGTTTGTTTGTTTTGAGACACCCATTGTTGCCATGAAAATATATAAAATATTTTCTTTCTTCTTTCTCCCCCCCCCCTTTAACTCTCTCTCTTTCTCTCTCTCTCTCTTTCCTTACTCTCTCTCTCTCTTTCTCTCTCTCTCTCTCTCTCTCATCTCTCTCTCTCTCTCTCTCTCTCTCTCTCTCTCTCTCTCTCTCTCTCTCTCCTTCTCTCTGTTAGTTCAGTTTTTCTTTCATTTTCACTCATATTATCAGTGGTTTAATATTTTCCAGATCTATACATGTATTTCTCCAAGACTCTCACATCCATTCAGTGTATAAATTAAACCTGTATATTCAACCTATTTATATTTAACCTAACCTTTATATTCTACTCCCATCGATAAAACAGCGATAAAACAGCGTCTTCCCAGCAACATGGCACACATGCAAACAGCCATGAAAACATTTCTTGTGATTACATGAAGACTGACATTATTGGCATGCCATTCACCCAGGCAGAAAAACATTAGAGGTATGCATAAAGAATGAAAGCGTCTTCAACTTTCAGCTCAGAGTAAAAAAAAAGTTGTCAAACTTTCAGCGCAAAATCCTTGACTTCCTTTATTTTTCTGTTATTTTGGCCTGGTAATTATGTTGCTGCAGTGAGGCTTAATTTAAGGTATGGTGTTGTCAAATGTACAAGCCTTGGGCAGATAATCAGAAATAAAAATGACCTTATAGCTTGAATATACAAGTATATACACAGCATGGAATATTTTAGTTAGTAAGTATCTCAATGTTTTAGATATAGGCCTACACGATGCCTCCAAAGTTTCTGGTGAGAATTATTAAAATTATAATTTTGATTACAGATAAAAAACAAAAGAGGTTTGACAAACATGATGATACAATATGCTGAGACTACACTAAACAGTTTCTTGGTATCGTTTGTAACTCTTTTTTTTAATGATTACAGATCTGAATAGAAATAATGTGAAAAATCATGTACTGTGAGATAGCAACAGATTAAACTTCAGTCAGCACAGGAGGACTAGACTGCATACTCGGGACAAAACTGAGACAAGATTTCTACTCTGGTTTCCAGTTTTGACAGAAGAATATGACCTCTTAAGAACAATGTGGATACAGTTGATAAGAGGATACTTCTTGTTGCTGACAATAAGAACTACAATCAATTCAAGCACAGATGTTTCTTTTTTATGTTATTTCTTTGAAAGAAATAGAGCTTTTTGAAACCAAAACCAGTCAAGTATGTCATATCCTTCTTATAAAGGAAGGATGGAGAGGCACATCATGATACAGTGAATGCACGATGTGGAGAATCCACGTTGTACATCATCATGCACGATTGTACAATAATAGCTCCCAATGGTCTGGCAATGTCTGGAACTCAATCGGTATAATGGAAAATCACTTATCTGGAAACGATAATTCAAGGAATTATTTCCTGATTCTGCTGTAATGTCGCAAACAGCCATTGTGACAACCCAGAGATTGTCAGACTTCAGAATGGAATTGTTTGGTATTTTTGCTTGAATGAATTTGACAAAGTTGACTTTTATTCAGGACACTAAGACACTACATGTAAGGAAATGAGTGCAGGAAAATGTTGTCAATATAAGGTCATTTGGTATTTACTAAAATTTGAGTGAGCCACAGATAAAACTTCAATACTTTTTTAGTATCATCACAGCGCATCTTTGAAATAAATCTGTAAAGCAAATCACTGTCATATGTCAACATATGCATAATAAATGCCCTGGGATTCAGAAACAATACTAGAGTATAATGACTAGCCCATAATTGCAATCAATTAATGTACTCTCTGAAGTACTATTAACGAAACAAAAATCAATCTGTGATTCCGGTGGCACTAGCTGAGCCAACCATTCATGAATCAAAGTCAGATAATTAATTCACCAATTCACTCTCATTCCCTACTTGACTTTTATTGATATACAGCACAGTGTAAATAATGAATTTATAAGTTAGTTGAGCAGTATGAAAGCCTAATGTTTAAAGCTTCTTAATGTACAAATGTGAGGAAGAATGCATCGAGAGAGGTAACTAAAAATCACATCATAAGAGAATAAACTTACAGCAAAGAAGGAAAAAATTGCAGTGCCACTGTTGAGCCGAAAGGACAGCAGAACCTTTCAAAAGTTCAAAACAGGTTCATATCCTGCACAAAAATCTTTCAAGATAACATCTGCATTTCTAATAAGATCCATGATATTGTTCCATGAAAGTCACAAAGCCAGCTGATAAGAAAGTAAATATCTATTCCAACTTAAGAAATTAACTTTCCACACTCGCAAGGCAAATTCAGCCAGTCACTTGTAGCACTAGCAGTATATATTCCTCATGAGAACAATGCCACTGAGATGGTGTGACAACTCCCCCTAGACAACTGAAGCTGGTATGGTGTAAACTGATGACCACTCAAAGAGCTTGCTATTAAACACCAGTCCACAGGCATTAGAGCTACCCTCACAAATCCACCCCAGCCATGGCAATGCCCGATATTTTAATTAATGAAAGCTAATTATGTTGCGTCGATACAACTAAAGGTTAATTGTGCAGCAGCATGCGTTTGGCCATTGAAGCCTTCGATGTAGGCTAGGGAGACGATAAGTGGATTAGGACGTGTGAGGCATCGGGCCAAGGACTCTTACAAGACACTGCGGTCGATCGGTCGTTCAATAAATGACGGATGGTAAAACTATATTGCTTTATGATCTGATCTTATCTGGGCAACCTGTCTTACTGTATGCAAATGAAGTATTTGTTGATTGGATTACTGCATGGCTGCCTGTGGAACTCTTGAGCAGGAATTACCGTAAAGAGATTAATCCCTCATATCTACTAAGTACATTCCCTACAGCTCTATACAATAATTTGCATAATGCAATTGACATGTTTCTCTATTCCTGCATAATGCATATGTACCCTACAAGTGTAGTTTTATGGTATATATACAACAAATCCCATATGACATTCAGCAATTACCATGTCAATGGGTAGTACACATAAAACAACATTATATCTAATCTTGTGTAATTATGTCAAAATATTTCAATTAAGTTGATATGTATATTGCATAATGTTATCTATTCAAAATTACATAATTTCTTTGTCTTTTATAATTTCTGAACTTTTGTTCCATATATGTATATGTAATGATAAATTGCCAAGTCAGATCATTTATACCTTTTTAAAAAAATTCTAAGAAAAGAAATGTTATCAAACTGGAGTACCATATAGAGTCAAGATTGATAATTATCATTTCCTTTTCATTTTATTATTACTTGCCATATTAACATCAGATATAATATCAACTTAAAAAAAACATACATACCTTGGAGAATAAGAGCGACGTCTATGTGACTTCATCATGATATCACAGTGATCAAAAAGTGTTAATTAATCCAATAATTCTTAATCCACAGAATGTGATCTATGCAGGGTATCACTGAGGTACAAACATCATAACTAAAGCCAATATAGATAATTGTTCATGACAAGATGTGTTGAATCCAGACTATAGATCAATGAACTCAATGTTAACAAGGAAACTCAACATGAAAACCATACTTCAAGGAGCTAGCCGACATCAACAACCTCCAATCGCAATAAACAACTGTAAATAGAATGATATTGTATTGCACTAATAATCACCGAGCAAGGCCAAATATATAAACCACCAACTGATTTTCTGAAGAAAAGTTTGAAATCATGATATCAAGTTGTTAATACTGGCGCAAGTATCCGAAGCAAAGAAGAATCTGCCAATTTTATCTTCCACTTTGACAGTTAGGAGAGCATAGAGACCAGTGTCAGCTATATCCAATGATGATTATCCCATTCATTCATTGCTGTATTATGAAGTTCATTCATTGATCTGCGGTTCTCAGCTGTCTACCGAGACAATCATACAGCTGGCGCTGGCCGGTACAAAACAACGATAGGTACAAACCACAGTGGCATGGGTAATGGATGTTACCCCCAAATCTACGGTTCCACCCCCTTACACCATGCCTAGAGTGCACTCATCCTTTCTCTACACACATACACAAACGATCTTTGAACACACAGAATACACAACCGTCAAGCCTCAATGGATTTTTCAATGTTTCAAATACTTCATGCCCAGTCAAAGTACCGTAGCATGACATGCTTGACACTGTATGAAATGATGCCAGAGGTGTGTTCACACTGTGTTCACACGGAGAGGTGTGTTCACACAGACATGTCTCCTGAGAGATCAAGGTTAACGGGTGAAGGATATATATATATATTATGTGAGAAGAACAAACCAGGTTTGGCTTTGAACATGAACCTATGTGACATATCTCAGGGTGTGAATCTTGGCACCCACCGTCGTTCATTGAGACTCAGCGGAACAATTCACAATTCAACATGGCTAGGTGATTGAATGAAGGCATGTTATGTGTGGATTAAAAGGCCAGTGAAAGTACATGCAGTAAGCCCCAAAAATATATACTCTGGATGAGTACATACAACCATCATATCCATTTTAAGCCATTGATATGTGTACATTATTTTAAAATTATAGAATCTGAAATTCAAGCTTCTTCACACAAATTAGAGTAATACTGATTCTTTTTTTCCTTTTTTTTTTAAGTACTTTTTATTTCAATTTCAAACCAGTGACATGCAAGATACCCTTAATTTACTGAAGCCTGATTTCCCCCATATGAGCACATAAGCACTTTGAGCAATGGTAAATTAGGCACTCTATAAATAGCGATATGTATGTATGTATGTATCACATTATGAACATTGCAGTCTGTCCCATCTCTACATGGTGTATCCTTCGTGAGATTATACAATCAGCACATTATCTCTAAATCAGCCTCTTTTAATCATCCGATCATGGACTTTAAACTCAAAATGGGTATAAAAATTAGGCCAGATTCTTTATTTCTCTCCTATTTCTTTTATTGGTTCAGAGCATCTGTGTGCTGGGTTCAGACTATTTGCTCTATGCAAGGAATGAGTTCAAAGGTTCCATTTTTTTGAAGCAGTATTCAGACCAAAAAAATGCTTTGTCTTTCCTCCACAACACCTGCAAGTAAAGATTGACAATGATTTCAGAGTAGCAAACTTGGTAAACAACTAGATGGAATTCGACTGCTCGCAGTCGAAAATGATGCCTCCGTCATAGAGCAATTTTACAAACCGAAACGGAAGAAATTTTTCAAATTCAAGTTCAATTGTAATCCATTAACATGTTCTCAGAATATCGTGATTACAAGCAATTTCTCATATACATATATGACCCTTTGATCTTTGACCTCATGACCCTAAAATCTACTCAGTTCATTGGCTCTGCAAGATTTCCTGAGTTAAATAGTAATCCATCTGTCAGTTCTAATGAGAATGCGTCCACAAGCTATTTTTGCATACATAATGAGCCCATGACCTTTGATCTTATGAACCATTCATTGGCTCTGCAAGATACATAAATGATCTAAGTTTGGCAGGAATCCATCAATCTGTTCTAATGATAATACGATCACAAGCTATTTTTGCATACATAATGAGCCGCATGACCTTGACCTTTACCTCATGACCCCAAAATCTAATCAGTTCATCAGCTCTGCAAGTAACATACATGACCTAAGTTTGGCAGGAATCCATCAATCGGTTCTTGAGATAAGGCGATCACGAGCTGTTTTTGCATACACAATGTGCGCTGTGACCTTTGACCTCGTGACCCCAAAATCTAATCAGTTCATTGGCTTTGCAAGATACATACATGACCAAAGTTTGGCAGGAATCCATCAATCGGTTCTTCAGATAACGCGATCACAAGCTGTTTTTGCATACATAATGAGCCCTGTGACCTTTGACCTCGTGGCCCCAAAATCTAATCAGTTCATCAGCTCTGCAAGATACATACATGACCAAAGTTTGGCAGGAATCCATCAATCGGTTGTTCAGATAACGCGATCACAAGCTGTTTTTGCATACATAATGAGCCCTGTGACCTTTGACCTCGTGACCCAAAATGTAATCAGATTGTTTTCCTATAGTGATACACACTATCACTAAGTTTGAAGTTAAAATCTCCAGTGGTTCTTGAGATATCATGATAACAATCTCAATGTATGGAATTTCATAAGTTGACCTCTGTGACCCTTGACCTTTGACAAACGTGCTCCAAAATCTAATCAGATCGTCTTCCTATGGTGATACATACTATCCTTAAGTTTGAAGTTTAAATCTCGAATGGTTCTTGAGATATCGCGCTAACAAACTCAATACAAGGAATTTCATAAGTTGACCTCTGTGACCTGTGACCTTTGACCTACGTACTCCAAAATCTAATCAGATCGTCTTCCTATGGTGATAAATACTATTCCCGAGTCTTAAGTTTAAATCTTAAATGGTTCTTGAGATATTGTGATAACGGTCAAACGGGACGTACGGACGGACGGACGTACGGACGGACGGACGTACGGACGGACAACCCGAAAACATGATGCCTCCGGCACCACCTTCGGTGGCGGAGGCATAAAAATCAAATAAATTAAAATCACCATTACACCCTGTTATATCATCTCTTGTGTAAGCAGTGGCTGTTAAATCCAGCTCAGAGTTCTGCCCTAAATTCCAGCCCCCCCCCCCCTCCCCCCTCCCCTATTCTGCCTTGGTTATCTTCACATTTTCCTTTCATTTCCTACACATTCCAACAAATGGTAATTTTATCTGACTCTAGTCTGTCAAACAGGATGGACAGGACAAGGTCTCTCAAGCATTTCAGTAATTCTTGGAAAATTGCAATCAGTCATTGTTTGTCACTGTAAAAACAAAAAAAAAAGCATTCTGAAGATATTTGAGGCAGTTATTTTGCACACACATTGCACTGGGGGTTTTGACGGTTGATTGTTATTCACAATTTGACAATTTTCAGAAAGAAAACAGTCAGAGGGAAAGATAGAGCAGTCAGGAATAAAGGGCAGCGTGAGAGAGTGAAAAAAAAGGGAACGTGAGAAAGAGAAAAAATGGGGAATTAGAGAGGGAAGGGGGTTTTAAAGTCAGTAACTTGATTGAAAGCACTGTACTGTAAAAGAAAAAAGAAAGTAGAAAATAATAAAAGAAATACATTAAAAACTTGGAGGAAGATCACAGATATGGAAAGAAAGAGCCGTGTGAGACCACCTTAGAAAAAGTCATTTGATTACAGCACGTATCTCAATACTTTCACTCTCCATTTCTTACCCAAATAACTCTATTTTGAGGGGAGATAAATTGCCAGTGGCATATATATCAACCTTATTTACACTCACAAGTTCTGAGGTCTCACACCTATTCATTTATTGATTGTATTTTTGTTTAAAGGGTCAATATAATTGACGTTCAGGCTGGTAAATATATGGCAGTCTAAGCAAGGGTATATATATGAAGAAGGACAGGTGACTGGCTGTATCTAGATTAATATCACATGTGTATAATCCATTAATTAGGGCTGGAGTTTTTACTCTCCATATTAAGCCCTGTCCGTGCTACTAGGTTACTAAAATTTGTTTTAAAAAAATAACTTCCTAGAATCACATTGGGGGTTTATGTATTGTTTATGTTGTTAAATCTTGCGTTTAATATTTTGCATGGAACACTCAATATGATTTTTTTTTACCTGTTTCAGTATTAGGATGAAGAACATTAGTTTGTTGTTGTTTGTTTTAACAGCTTTAATGGAAAACTTTTGAGCAAAATGTGAATTTGCATTCTTTTCACAGGTAAACCTTCTATTTCAATCAATTTCGGGGGAAATGCAAAAAGGAATTAAATGTGATAATGCGTAAAGAATAAAAAAATAAAATAAATAAATAAATAAATAAATAATCACTTGGCATTTTGTTTGAGGGTGGTATATACTCACAAACAATAAATATCTTGGATTTATTTCCTGTCACTCCATGCTTAAAAACACTTAGCATTTTCAATCAACAAAATACTTCAAAGGCTCTAGACATTTTAGAAATCCAGCATAGTCCATAATGCCATGTAAAAAAAGGGTTTCAAAATGTTAATGTTAATGAGCCAAGTAATTCAGAACTATGCATAAGTCTATTCTACAAAATGATCATACTTACGCAATGTGAAAGAAAAATATTCTCGACTCAAAGCAGTTTGGCTACCGGTATCTCCTTTTAGGTGAATAATCCACAATGGTCCCACATACAGTATCAATATGTTGTCACAATCCCAAGCACTTCGACAGACAGGGTCTAAACTACCACCTACCCCAATGGCAAACCAGAGGCAATACACAGCAGAGAGCCAACAAGCATCAAAGAACTCAATTCATAATATTTTTATCATGATTCGCTAAGAAAATAAGCAACGCCACAGGCTGGATGATATTCTTGAACTGTAGTTAGATGCATGATTAATGGTGTTCTTTGTGACTTCAAACTCCTGAATTATTCTCCTCTTTTTATACAAGCTCATATTGTACAGAAACTGAAGTACCGGTATATACTGTGTGCATGAGGAATTTCATAGAGGAAGTAAATGGAATATGTCTATTTACTTATTTCTTTCTCTCTCATGAATATAGAATTTATAAAAACCTCAAGTTAAATACAAACTTGCATGACTGAGTGGTTTCAATATTCGACCCAACACTATCGGTTCTGTTTACCTACATCATTGAGTGTATCAAATTTCAATGATTAAAGAATTCATCTCATCTTTGTGACATATTCACTATATGGTTGGGCTAATTCAGAACAAATAATAACAAATTTTGTGAATAATTGCTTTCACAGTTGTTTCTTTTGAGAGTAATATAATAGCAGGTATTCACAGTGGTTTTAGTGTTTATATATGGGGGTTGTCTCTTCAAACATAATTAGAATTGAATAGAAAGAATAACATGTAAAGAATGGCGCAGCCCACGACTTATGATAATACTATCCACCTACACTTACCATTTCAATGAAAGAGAAAAAACCCATGATTCCATGATAACGATAGTAATAATAAAAACGGTGTCTCTAAGCCACAAGACCACTCTTATCTTTATGAATTTTTAAAAAGCATAATGGCAAGCATTTAATAATTTGGCAATTATGATTAGGTACAACAGGCCAGTGTAATACCTTTGGTAACATTTTGACCTCTTTATCACCCAAACATAATTTTTATCTCTATTACAAATTACTAAAGACCATTTCTTCCAATTGCAATTGTATCAAATCAAGATCAAGATCAATGATCATCATTGTGATATCGTCGCCCAGCTGGCAGAAGGGCGTTAGCGACTCGAACACTACTTTCCGAATTATTCGCATTTAAAGATTTGTTTATATTTAAACTGCTTTCCCTCCCAAAAAATGGTTTAAAACTTAAAAGACTAATAGAAATATTATAGTACAACACGGCCACAATTTTTTTCTCAGAAATAAGTCAGTTTTATAAAAGTTTGAGGCAATTTAAGGCTAATGTCCTTCTGCTTTTTAGCATTTGATTTTTGACCTGAACTTCGAGCTAGCGCCCTTCTGCCAGCCAGGCGACAATATGTTTTTCTGTGTTTTCTTAACCCACAGCAACAAATATGTACATGTAGATCTACAAGTGCATGATTTTACATTTTCAAGCTATCAAAAAAAACTATTTGTCTGCAAAATCATATTCAGCAGAAAATATATGGATGATTAATACCGGGTAGTTGACAATAGAAGGTGAAAAAAAAAACTGATTTTCGGGGGTGTTAACCTTTGATACTAACCAGTATTTATTGTAGAAAAGTCTATATTGGGAACTATTTATCTTGTAGGAACATCAGGAATATTGACATTGTTGTTTGCCATCTAGTTCCAAAGTACATAGTAAAATAATCTAACTTTGACATAACCTAGATATATACTTTCAAAGACCATGGAGTCATTGTCCATAAAATTAGAACAGAAAGAATACAGGGGAGTATATATCAGCTAGACACAGTGAAGTATGATATATTGCTCCTTATTCCCCTTCAGTACTTGTAATGTTGAATGTCACAATGACACAAGTCTGTGGATAATAATATTGAAACAAAATTCATGTCAGATCGAGCAGAGTTTTGTCACAGCTTTGT